TTTCTTTCTTTCTTTCTTTTTTTTCTTTATTTGTTGTTTGTTTTATTTTGTTTGTTTGGCTCTTGTCGTCTTTGGTAGTGCTGATAGTCTTTGGTTTGCTCGTTTGCTATTTCTTTACTCTCTTAACGTCTTTCCGTCTTTTGATAATTCAAATTTATATATCGTCAACAATTTAATTTTCTTTTGTATTTTCTTTCCTGTGTTGTTGACCATTGCCTTTTCTTTGTACGCCCTTTAGTTCGTTTATGTGCTCGTTCTTTCCTTGATTAGTTATTCTATCGTCAGTCAATTAGGTATTTGATATTTTTCTCTTATTCTCTCTATTTCATTATATACACACCGAACGCATAATTTATTACTACTATACTATGTCTATTCTTTGCGTACATATTTACGGTGTTCAACTTATCTATAGAGAAAAAATATCGCTCTGGGATCCTCACGAATACCCTACATTTCATATTCTGGCTGCATTACCAGCGTGGTTGGTCCTTGTAGTGTAGTAGTTAACACATCGGACTAGAATACCGAAGACGTGGGTTCGAATCCTGCCAAGGGCATTTGATATTTTTCTCTTATTCTCTCTAGTCAATTAGTTTATTTTTTTGTATAATATCTGTGTGTTCCTTTGCTTGATCGTCTATTTCCTTCCTTTGCTTTTCGTTTATTTGTTTGCTCGTCCTGTTTGTTTGTTTGCTTGGCTGGTTGTTCATTCCTTTATTGTTCATAAGTTCTGTTGTTTGTTCGCTGGCTTGTTGCTTGATTCTTCTTTCGTTCTTTCGTTTGGTTCCCCCGTTTTATCATTTCATTCTTTCTTTCTAGGAATATTCATTGTCGCCACACCTGATTACGTCATCGACCGTCGTTCCTTCCCATACCCAGATGGCCTTGCGGGCAACATTTACTGTCACATGATTGGTTCCACGTACATTCTCTTCATCTTCAGCAAGGCGTCTACATTGACTATCATGTTCTTGGCCATAGATCGATGGTTTTCAATCGTCCAACCAATCAAGTACAAGACGACATTCAGTAGAAGACGTCTATACTACTACATCACTATAATTTGGATCATAAGCTGCATCACTCAAATCAATGAACTTTTTATAACATTCGTTGATGAGAAAAATCATTGCACTTTCCGGGATCCTTTCTACGGCGTCAAGTTCGAGCGAATCCTCATTCTCGTCCACGTGACCTTAACATTCTACATTCCAAGCATAATTACGTGTTGTTCATTCGYGCATATTAAATACCACATGCACAAGCCTCAATTCAGAAGAAGTATCAATAACGTCAAGGCGACGGAGAGGCTACTGCGCATGTGCGCACTTGCAGCTTTGTTCCTATCAATCTGTTGGCTTCCTACAGAAACGTATTTTATAACCTACAAGTTTAAAGTCGCGAAGTTGTCGTTAAATATATCGTTATTTTTTAGCGTCCTCGCGATGTTTAACTCGTGTGTAAATCCTTGGATTTACTGCCTGAGTAACAAGGAGTATCGTAAAGAATTCGTTAACTTGCTCTGCTGCATTCGATCCAACTCCATCGGGCTGACTGAGCTTATTGCAAAAGTATCATCGTCTAAGAGTCAATATTCCTTCACCAACGTGATGKCTTTGYCGATGGATAACCAAACGAGCCTCAACACAGAACGTTCAATTATTATTGAAATGAGAGCCATGTCGAATCCTGAATCGATGTTTCGACATCTGACGCCCAACAGTGCCACTCTGAAGCGATATTCAAGCAATGATTTGGTRACTGGCGTCTCAGCCAATGGGAAGACGCCTAACCACGTGGACAATAACAAAGAATTGATGGCCGACGGCCATTTTGGATAAATTCCTTTTTTAAATCATTACCATCAAGCGTGGAGGCCAAAGCAGTGCCTTTTTTGAAGAATACTTTTTGTCGACTATGTCACGTGACCGGAAGCTAAGGTTCCAAATTTGTGATCTATTCATGGTTCATACTCAGGCAATAGC